ACCTTCGTCACGCCGAGGGGACACACGTAACCGTTAGAGCCAGCCCACGGTCCTGGCATGAGGCAGGGCAGCCCCCAGCATCTTGGACAAAAGGTCCTCACCCATGACAGGAACCAGCAGCACGTCAAGCCCTGCCACCTGTAACACTGGTTGCTTGCGTGAGCGAGTGACAGGTGATAAAATACCTGACCAGGAGCAAATCCTGGAGCCCCGACACCACAAGGTTGCTCTGAACCACAGCAGGGAACAGGATGTTTCTGCAAACCTGTCGGAGAACAAGCCCAAGAAAGCAACGAGTGAAGAATCCACCAGGTGAATCCCTGCTCTGCATGAAGCTTAACCGCAAAGTGCCCCTGGTTCACCCTATCCGAGGGCATTCTCAGTGCTCAGTGGTGAATCTCCACAAGCTGAGCGCCTGCCGTTTATTCCGGAGTCTCTCAGAAAACCCCTTCCAACACACAGCCCTGCCTGCTGCACACAGAAATCGGAGATCTCAGCCTTCCATCCATGAGAGCAGAGCTCGGTGTTCTCACGCGTCTGGCTCGCTCACCTTCCCTCGCTGTGCTTTGCGTGAGGCGGGTGGCCCCACACCCCACCAGCACCTTGGGACACAGGTACGTCTGTCCTCAGCAGGAGGGACACGTCGGTCAGCAGGCACGCTGGAGGGCTCAGGAGAGCTGTCCCTGCTCCCTGGAGGAGACGGGGTTTCTCCCATCCCTCCCTGCCTCCTGCCCCACTACCCAGGTGTCTCCAGCACAAACCAGCCCACCCAGTCCCAGCAGGACAGCGCAGGACTCTCCCTCCAAAGCGAAGTGAGAGACGGCGCAGTAGTTAGCAGATGCAAGTCCCTTAATGCACCGGTAGCAGGCATTCCGATATTCCTAAAAACCCATACGGGGAACATCTCACGGCTGACCTGAGACATTCAGCCGACAAACAGTAATCAGCACACGGAGCAGGAAGGCTCGTGAGATGTCTGCGCTGGCACTCACAGCGCACAGAAGTTGCTGAGTTTTGCTGTGAGCCCAGGGTCTAACATCACGGTGGTTGCTGGAGGCTGATGCACGCTGGGGCAGACTGCAGCAAGCCTGGATTCAATATTGTAACCTGACTGCAAAGCCACGTTTGGCTTCATGATGCCATAGCCCAAACCTCTGCGTTGCAGAGCACACCAGCCCAGAGGCAGGGCTGGCTGTCTTTACTCAGCACACCACGCTGTAAGGCCTCCCAGTAAGTCAACACGCAGTAACCAGACCACCGAGTCACAGGAGAAACATCTGACAAGTTAAAATACTGGTCGGCGTCACCATTTCATTGCTGGGTGTGCACAGCAGCCACCTGCTACATGTCCCAGGGCTTCCACACAGCCTGAACAAGAGGTCCCGCAAGCACACTGCCCAACCCGGAGTACACGCTGGTCTGAGACCGACAGCTTGCAGGAAAGCTTCGCACTGAACCGCGGGAGAGGCAGAGCACAGATCCGCAGGTCTGGGTAAACATGGGCTGCAGCAGGAGGAAGGTGAAGCCTTATTCTTATGTACAGACAAGTAAATTGTTCAATTTCCTGCTTTCTGCCCCCTGTCAAGGCCAAGACCCTGATTTTCCCCTCCCACCTTTCCATGCACGTGTGGTGGATGCTAGCAGGGACAGCACAAACAGCCCCTGGGCAAGCACAGCTGGGCAATTTCCAGCCTGCTGCCATCTTTTCCCCTTAACCACCAGCTACACACCTCACTGTCCAAGTCAAGGAAGCAGCAAGGCAGGTTTATCCAGACACATCTGAGCAATCCTCACCACTCAAATTGCACCACATTGTCTCTCCGTCTCCCACCCGCTCCGGGCTGCCCCGTCCATGCCTGCTCTAGCCCAGCAGCAGAGGCCAGCAGACACTGCTCAGCTGAGCAGTCTCACTGAAGTCCACGGGACTTCTGCTTGCAAAGTGTCATGGACCTTTGCTAGAGAGACAGGGCTGCTTTGATATTTGCTGGGAAGGCCAAAGAGAAGGCACAGCATTGCTTTCCTGCAGCCCACCTCCTGCTCATTCACAGGAAAGGCCTGGATGCACCACTTCAGCCTTTCCACCAGCAGCCCCGCTGGAAGATGTCTTTCCAGCTGAACGGCAGAGACGATAGCAGTGGGGAGATGCCAACCTGCGGAGGGATGACGTAGTCCGCAACATCCCACAGCCTCTCCCCCAGCTCCGAGGTGTTGGTGAAGGCTACCCCTTTCAGCTTGGTGATGACAGAGCTCTGGAGGGATGTGTCTGTGTCCTGATAGCCCTTCTTGACAACAAACACCCACCTGCGAAGACACAGAAGGCGGCAACATTAGCAAGGGGGGTCAAGGAACAAGTTAGCCAGAGATCTACACTGAGGCCAAATAACATTCAAGAGCAAATCAAAACATGCCAGTGACACCAACCCCTCTGCAACTGCTACAACAAATTCAGAATAAACTCTTTGACACAAGCTGTGCTTATCTACAGCACTGGAGGAAGCATCAGGGCCCCACACCAGGGAAAGGCGTAATAACTGGTCACAGGGTAAAATAACAAGCCTCCTGCCTCCCCATCCTGTGCTAGCAACCTCGATGGAAAGAGGGCAGGGCAGGGCAGGGCTCTGTATTCCTCAAGATAAAAAATAATATCAGCTTTTGCAGGCTGCAGGGAAGATTGTGGTTGGTTTCACAAATACATGAGAAACTCCCGTTTTAGCAGCCTGCCATTAGTGTACCGGTCATAGGCTCACAGAATCATTGAGGTTGGAAAAGACCTCTAAGTTCAAGTCCATCTGTCACCCCAACACCCCCATGCCTGCTAAACCGTGTCCCCAAGTGCCACATCTACAGGTTTTTTGAACACCTCCAGGGATGGCGACTCCACCACTGCTCTGGGCAGCCAGTTCCAATGTCTGACCACTCTGTCAGTAAAGAAATTCTTCCAAACATCCAATCTAAACCTCCCCTGACACAACTTGAGGCCATTGCCTCTCATCCTATCGCTAGTTGTTTACCAGTCCAGCAGCAGATCACAGCTAGGGAGATGCAACTCCAGCAGGTGAACCACATCTCACTAACAGAGATCTGCAGGGAGTACTCTCAGCTGGACACAACCTGACTGCACCCTGGGCTCTGCTGGGCTTCAGGCTCCTCGCTAGCACACCTGGAAGAGCTGCTTCCTTGCTGAGTAGTCCAGGGAAAGGCTTTGCTTACTTCTTCCCAGTAGCAACAGGAAGAGCTCCACGTCACTGGGTGGAAACCTCTCTGGGTTAAATGAAATGCCTCCAGCTTCCCCACAATACCACCCAAGTCACCTGCCAGGACAACAAACCACCCAGACCCTCGAGGAAGCGCAGGGTGCCGGGGCAGGGGGAGGGACGCAGGCTGCGTTTGCTGGCACAGCTCCCCTTCGCAGCACACCGACCTGCAGCACACGCCTGCACGCAGAAAGGGACAGCGGCCATCTCGGGCTGAGCAGCGCTGACGTATGCTGCCCTTCACCTGCTACTTGTGACAAACCTGAATAACGTTCCCCACCCCTGTGAAGCTTCCTACTGTTTCCCCCCCAAGAATACTGTTTTTTTCTCCAAGGAGGGCTCAAAAGTAGACCCTTAGGATTTCCACAGCAAATCGAGGGAGAAATGGCAGTTCCATGCACGAGACAACCCAGAGGGGTTTGATGATCGCAACCCCCCAGACAGCCTCTGGCCAGGGCTGGGTGCGTAATCAAGCAGTCAGATGTCAGACAAACACCCACCGCCTCTGCGATACGCTGAGAGCCCCCAGCCACACAGGAGTCCCCAAAGGCACCAGCAGTGACAGTGCCAAAGCTCTGCAGAAGGCAATAGCTGCCGAGGGAAGAAAATAGCCAGTATGGCCCAGACGGTCTCTGAACACTCACAGTCACTGGTCATACCATATCCCTCTCGGACAGAGGATGTGTCCTCAGCAACATTATCTACAGGATTCCTCCTTTAGCAGCTAACGCATGCCAGTCTGCTGAGACCTCATCTCTGCGCTGCAACTAAAGCAGGCTCTGGAACTGTACACCTTTCTATAAATAAACCTAGCACGTAAAAATGACTCTGCTATATTTGATCAGTGAAAACACGAGGTATGAGAAAGGTGAAGGGACTCAGAAGCACAGACAGGGAGGGTAAAGACTTACGAATCACATTCCACACAGCCTCAGAAACTCAGGAAGCAATGGCACATAGGCTGGATAATTCCAGGTCTGAGCCTGCAAACTGCAAGGAGTATCGCTGTGCTCATTACATGCCAGCGTGACCAGCCTCTTGCAGAACCGGGCCTTTTCCGAGAGGTATTCTAGCTATCTCCATGCCAACTCGCCCTGCTCTGAAACAAATGGAAGGCAGCTGACACGCACGCTGCCTCAGCTTCCACAATCCCGGCTGCTGCAGCCCACTCCAGCAAAGAAATCTGCCACTTTGTGCCTGGTCCCCTCCCATTGAGACCTGAGCATGTCATGCAGGCATGCAGACAAGCCAGGTTTGTCCCAAGGCTCAGCAACCGTGGCCATAAATGCCATTGTTTCTAAGACGTCAGGTGTTAAGGCTGGGCACCGTTCCCACCGAATACAGAAATAAAGGTGTAAATAATGCAGTACAAAGCCATAGTACCATTTGATCTATTTTTAACCCTACATTAATCTGGAAGGTAGAGCTGAATCTAGCAATCCCCAGCAGATGAAAAATCAGATATAAGTCTATTAGACATTACAAAATCCAGCTGCATAAGCAAGCGTAACTATCTGCATTAAAGTCATCAGGCTCAGCAAGCTGTCACCGTATGCAGAGTACCCTACATAAATCTTCATCACAACACAGCAAGCAACCGCAGCCGCAGCAGGAGGTGAAAAGCAGGGTGATTCTTACCCCACCAGGTAAGCCAGGATGGAGAGCTGCACCACTCGATAGAGAACCCCCACCTTCTTGTTCTTCGCAATGACGTATTTCTCTGTTTTATAATCAAAAAGTGATAGAAATAAACCCTTCCAAGCCACCTGCCCCATGCTCCCGGCTCGCTCTGTACGGGTGGCTGGAGCGGGCAGCAGCGTTTGCAGCTCGCATTATCCACACGTGCTCTGCATAGAAACCTGACACACCAACCCCTTCAGAGCCAGCGGCTCATCTCCTCCCTCCCCGCAGCAGCGTGCCGGCAGCAGCGCTCGGGTTGGAAACCAGCAGCTGCGCTCACACGAGATCCTTCCTTAGCTGCTTTTCAGCTAATTCATCCTCTGGCGAAGCCCCCGCCTCAGATTTCCCCTCAAGCTTTCGTTCTCTCCCCCACAGTCACAAAATGTTTGTAACAAAACATGTTACAGCATGAAGCCGTGGTACAGCATCCGAGGTGACAGAGCTATGCTCTCTCACTGTTAAGCATTAAAGCCTTTCTTCAGGCTTTACATGATGGCAAAGCACCTGGTTAAATTTTTAATTCCTTAAGCATTCACATGAGCAATGAGAACTTGGGTCCTCAGCCATCCATAACACCTGCCTGGCTACTACATCTTCCCATCAAAAACCCAGCCTAAGAAACTAATAAATAAATTCTGTACGTGGTTAAGGGATCAATCACCATCACATCTCACTGAAATGCTCCACGAGTGCTGAGCTAGGCACAGATAGATACAGAACACGCTGTCTGATGAAATACCAAAGGGAGAGGAATAGTTTAACCGTCACCGAGAGAAGAGTTGTTTACTAGCTAGCAGTGCGAGAGGTGACTCCCAGTCTAACAGAGGCATTTGCATGTGCAGGGACATGAAATGACCATTGCTTCAACCAGGAAGGGTGGACACCGTCTCCCGGCTAAGGAGGGAACAGAACGAGCTCCGAGGTGGCAAATGAAGGCAGGACCTTCCAGCAGCCCAGCTAAAAGAGCTAATGCACCTCGCCAAGAGGGATCCAGCAGCAAGCTGGGATCCAAACTGGAGTGTGCCCTTTCAGGGGCATCCCGTATGCGTGCACTGATGGGAGATGTGGACTGCCTGTGGGCTCAATCTATTAGAGAGTGTCCACCAGAGACAGGAGGGGTTGTATCAGGTGTAAAGTGTAGGGTTTACTGCATTCATGCATGAGCACCCAATGAGCACTCAGGGCTTCGTTAGGACCGGGAAGGCTCTTGAGATTACACAGTACACAACTGTAACACATGCTCAGACACTGGCTGAGAGAGGGGTCACACGACAGAGGGAGCAGGCAGTGCGGTGAGGTGATCTGCTCCAGCACACACACCTCAACCCGGGGAGAGTCGTTCTCAAGAGCATGGATTTTGTGAAAATTTTATCCTTCGTCCTCCTTAAATTCCGTATCAGATTTAAACAAACAGATCAGATTTTTAATGAATAAGTGACAAGGTTGCTCCAAATCACAGGAGAATCACAAACATTGCAATGAACAAAACACTGTCCTCAAAATACCTCATTTTGTCCCTCCTCCCACAGCCATCCCTAGAGTTTCCTTCTGCAAAGCAAAGGAAACCTTTCTCCAGCAACTGCAAAACTAGAACAGAAATGTGCCTGTGGCCTCCTTTCACCCCAGCAGCGGCTGCACTCCCCTGCCCCACGCCGGGCCATGGCTTGAGGCCGTGGCTCTTTCACAAGGGGCTCCCTCGCAGGCTGCAAGGGACTGAGCCCCCCGCTCCCACGCACCCCCCTGGTCACTCCTCTGGCTCAGGGGTAGCCCCAGTCCCGCTCACAAACTTCACAGCTGCCACTCAGCCTCAGCACAAGCAAAGGACTGGTCTTGCTCACCTCTCCCACTGCCCGTTACCCCTCCCTTTCCCTCTCTGCACACCCCACATGGGCAACCCCATCTTATCTCACAGAACAGGCTGGCTGCTCCCCAAGCCCCTCCTGGAGCCCTCTTTCTCACTCAAGCAGCTGCAACTCACGGTTTCTCTCTTCCTCAAACGGTATTTGGCCGTTGTATCCACCCCTCCTTACCAGATGCCCACAAACCAGAATATCACTAGTTCCAGCCCTAGAGATCCTCTGCGTGAAAGCCTGAAGCACAAATAAATACTCTTAAAATGTACAATAACCAAAGGAGACAAAACCCTCCAAGAAAGCACACTTCTGCAGGGAGGAAGGAGACCACAGCGGTCCATGAGGTCAGAAATGAGTAAGGAAGAAAGGCAGGCTCAGCCTATCTCCCCTCACCACTTCCCAGACCCAAGGTGGGGCTGGGCACAGGGAGACCGACGCAGCTCCAGCAACCAGAGCTGTACAGAGACAGGAGCGTCCGAAAGGATCCACCACCTGATCTTCTGCCCAGTCTGCTCCTAGATGAGACGCTTTGCAAGCACAAGTGGCTGGATGACTGCCCAGCATTGTTTCTCATTGTGGGTCTGGTCCGACAAGAACACCATCTGCTTGCCCTGGCCCCGCTGGAACTGCTCCAGGGGTGGACTAACCAGTGAGTATACCCCATGTCTCAGGACTGCCTCCACCATTGCTCCTGCTGCACTAAGAACACCCAAGTTCATGGACAAATGAAGTATCAGGGGAGACAAGTTAGCCCTTGGTGGCATCTAGAGACACCCCCCGTGCCGTCCCCATCTGCCTTAACTAAGCAACTGCACAGGCTAAAATCAGATCAGAAACTTGCTGGCAGTTAAACAGCGTGTTGTCCTCCTGGCCTGCTTTTACTTAGTGGCACAGACATAGGTCTGCTGTGAGTTCTTGCAATTATTTTCCAGGTCAATTAATGCGAGAAAGGATTTACACAGGTTAGAAGAAAATGTTACTTAAGAGTGAGAAGTGTTCTGTTGTAGGTGTGACCTGAAGATGTCAACCAGTTTTGATCACTTAAAAAAAAAGACGTACTTTTCTTGTTTTCTTCTAGAGCCATCAACTAGAAGCACAGTTGCAATAGCTGATTTTGAATAAAAAGCTTCAATTTGTATCAAATGTTCCTCAGAATATTCTGAATGTTACTCACCAGAGGCTGCGTTTGTGCTGACAACAGTGTTGTTGGCACGCTTTTGCAGATATTGTTCTTCTCACCTTCTAGTTTCACAACCTTATTTTTTTTTCTTGCCTGGAAATCAAGATTACTGGTATGTTTCTCAGAGTATCTGTGGGTGGTTCAAACATAAGCGGTTTCATTCCCGGGGGGGAGGGGGGGGTGGTAAATAACCTTACAAAATCTAATCATCATCAGTTAAAGACAAAAAAACCCAGTAGTTTTTCTTAGTCCTTCTCAAGGGGCTGAGAATGGATCTCTTCTGCAAGATACCTCCCTTCTCGAGTCCAACATTTTCAATTTCCCATGGAAAAAAGCAGTCTGCCCCTTTCCCCGTGAAGGCTGTTTGCTCAGTCTGGAAATTCTCACAGGGAAGATTCCTCCGCCAGTACTAGAACTCTCCCTTTCTCTTTCTGTCTTCTCTTATTCCTGCTATCCGTAATTCCTCATACCGTTCACAGTAATTGCCTTCTCCTTATTCACACGCAGCCACAGGATACGCGACCCTGTCTGCCCAGACTGCTCCTCATCTACACTTCCCTCCACCTGTCAGTAGCTCTTTGGTGTTAAGCTGCCCCAGAACTGAACTCAGCCCAGTCATGAGCCTGTAAATGCCACGCAAAGGGACTGTGGAAATCAAACGTTAGACCCCTGCCCCGACACAGTGCTGTTTGAAACCCAGTGAGGTCACATCTGTCTCTCTATGGCATTGTGGCATAGAAACATTTCAAGATCAGCCCAATAATATCTTTAAATCGCACCCAAAAAAGCCTGTGTGTTTTCCAGGCAGTGGCAGACTGCCCTGGCCAGTGCAGGCGGGTTCACGAGTGACCGCTGGAGCTTTAGGCTCTTCTCATGTTCGCTTCCAGTTCCAGACGATCACCCCAGGCACTAATTCTCTCCGTGATCCCCACTCCACCCTTTACTGAGCTATCAAGTGCAACAGAAAACATCGGCTCCCAAACGCATGACAGCTGACTCAGAAGACACTGAGACATTTCTGAAGCACTGGAAATGCTCCTGCAGCAAATGCCTGAGCGATGCAGATGCCTCATCCTTTACAAACAGGCACCAGACCAGCTACTGAAATAGAAAAGAGACAAGCAGCAGAGGATGCAAACAGGAGACAAACTAATTTGGCAAGGAAATGAACAGTGGAAAAGGCAGAGGTCAGCTCTCTCCATCAGCGGTTTTTTCTCACAGTATCATACTTGTAGGCCAACATCTAAAAAAAAAAAAAACAAACCAGGGGAAGAGTTGAACAGTTTGAAAGAGGAAGTTGCATTTAAACCAACAGCTCATGCACACAGCAACGCCAAGCGTAAGCTGCTTTCTGAAGATGACAGGTTTGGGTGCAAGCACAAAGAAACGTGTGTGCAGCCTGCAGTGAAAAACGCTCTGTTCAGCTTCTTTTAATGCTCGTTGTGACTTTGCAGTGTAAATAAGAAGTAGGTTGCCACTTGCCAATGAAAAAATGACAAAAATCCACCCCAGTATTTGTCCTCCTAACTAGCACTGCTGCACACCCAGCCACAATGGAAATCTTTCTTTCAGGAGCTGTTAGAAAAACATTCAGATTTTTTTTTCTCTTAGAAAGGGAATCTGTGGAAAGACTCTTTCTGCCATTATTCACAGGACCATCCAAATCTATCTGTAGGAGTGAGAAATGGAAGCGTGCTGAAGTTTCAGAGTATATTCTCTCTTTGATTCAGCTCATCATTTCCAGGAGAGCCATTTTCAGCCTCTGGATGTGTCCCAGGTTGCTCCCCCAAGTCCTGAATCTGCTGTACAGAGTGCAAGAGGTCTTGTTATCGTTAGTCAGAGCGTTTACCCACTCCTCTCCCCCAGCCCAAGAAGTGAAAGTACTTGAGGAAGAGAACCAAAGAGAGGAAGGAAAAATACTGCACATCTAATGAACCTAATCCATCATGACCCATTATGTGAGAGAGCTGGCACTGTCAGGTAAAAGAAATTAAATAAAAATGCACATAAAACATCACTAGGAGATTGAGTGCACTGATAGCTGGAACAGCAGCATTGCACAGTGCTGTATTGCAATGTTTTCACCTTCTGAAGTCTGCCAATAAAAGCATTATTGGGGAATGTTAAATTGAAGGCCCGAAAGCTGAACAGGTTTAATAAAATGTGAATTCACATTAACTACTGATGTAAGGTGAAATCCTGCTCTTGAATAGGCCCGACAGATCACTTTTTTACTTCTTTGTCAGTGCATATCATTCCTGACCCAGAAAGATATGAAACTGGTCCTGACTTGATAGCTCTGTCAGAGCTTACCTTGCTGCAAGCACCGAGGAGAGACCTTCATCCCTGTCCTTCACCTTCATCATGTAAACAGCTAGAAAATCTAGACTGAGGCCTCTGCCCTTTCCTCCCTGGAAAGCTACCAACTGGCAGCTCTTCCCAGCCACAGGAAAACACATGTGCTACTCAGACTTGAACCCCAGAGGAAAAGGTTTCCTGAGGAACGCCCCCAGCCTGGCCCCTGGCCTTGGCTCTGGGGGTGCTCCAAGCCAGTCTCCACCAGCAAGAAGCCGATGTGTCCCAGCTGTGCTGTGCAGACGTACTGGAGCCAGTTCAGCCAAGCTGGCAGAGAGTCCAGGCAACCTGCTGCAAGCACAGCTCCATCCCAGCTCATTCACCCTGTTACAATACAAGACAGGAGATTTCTCTTTTGAGCTGCAATCCAATTAGCCTCCAAATAAAGCTGCCCGAGCAGGCTCTCAATCCCAGCAAAACACTTCATGGGTCCTATCAGATGGTCTTACGTCAGCACCCTGCACTAATGAAGAACTACTTATGCCCTTTTCCTGATAAGCTTTCCTGAGTAGCAGACTGCCACTTCACTTTCTCCTGCTAACCACCAGGCCACCACACTCCCACAGTTTAATATATGAACCTGTCATCTTCTGAGCATGCTGAGGGAATTATAACCCAAGGCTTGCAAAACTTCCTGGCATACCAGAAAGATACAAGCAGCTGGTATCACCCCTGATTAAAATAGCATCTCAAAGTGCATCCTGTCCTCCCCTTCAAGGATACAATTAAAAAGCTATCTCAGATACATCAGCTCTTGTCAGTCACCACCCACCTCCGCACCTCCTACTCCTTGGTCAGACCACAAAAATAGCCAAAATCTGTCAGGCCAAGCTCACCTAACAGAAGCTGATATCCCAAGGTGGAGTGATGGAGCCAAGCCAGGACTCGGAGCTAAGACAGCAGATGGGGACGGGTGGTCGGCACCAGTAGAGAACAAGCATCTACTCTTGCCCTCCTGGGCCACCAGCAGCACTGAGAGGCATCTCCCGCAACAGAGCAAGACAAAGGCAGAACAACAAATCACGTCAGCCTAACGAGCAGCGTTGGGAGAACAGACCTGAACAGCAAAGAGTTGAGGACCCGACCCCTACTGGTCTGTATTTCTGACTCAAGAGCAGAGAGACCCTCCCTCCCCTGAGAAGCTGTGAGTCTGCCTACAGGTTGCTGTCTTTGCTTGAGGCATAAAGATCAGGAACGACCCTTACAGCTCAGAGGCCTCTAGGACATCTGCAGCAGCTTCTCTGCCCACGACACCTGGACCCCAAACAGGCTGCTAAGGTGTGAGCCTGGCTGGGGTCAGGTGTTTAATGACTCTCAATGAGTCATTTGCAAATACCCTGTCGTTCAGGGAGATGACATAACTGTGCCACTGCCAGAGCACACTGAAGTCAAGGCCACAAATGTTGACAGGGCTTCTGCACAGGGGATTTTATTCAAAATGCAGATTGCAAATAAATTTAGAAGCAGACGCAGCAAGGCTTCCATGGAAACAGCACAAAAACCTAGCTGTGGTTTGGATGACTGTGAGTCCTGGCAGTCTTGACTAATCCCTTAAGTGCCATCCAATTACTGCAAATGTGTTTGGCATCTCTTACAGCAATTGCAAAGAATTAAATGGTTGGATGGCACTCATCGGAAATTACAAGTCACAGAACCCTGTAATGCATTTAAGAAAAAAAAAAATCTTAAAAGGAAAATAGCATCCCGCACTGCAAGAGCTGACCTCCTTGAGAGCCATAAGGGACAACAAAAGGCATCCAAGTAATGAGGGGTACTTAATTCAGAGAAGAAACTAGAAAAAAAGCAGAGAAAGAGGCAGAATAACAAGACTGGCTGAAGGAGATGAGCTTATTTAGCCTTGAGAAGAGACAACTCTCCTTGCAACTCCTTGTTCTTAGCACAGCTTCTACAATTAACACTCCTTCCCTTACAAGAGTAATCAGAAAACTACTGACAGCTTTTCTATGCCCAGACTTACCAAGTATGATCTGAGTGTAGAGATCTCCAAGGGCTTCAGAACAGGTAGGACTTCGGTGTGAAGTGGAGCAGGTCTGGGAGGGAGGATGGGCAGCAAGACCACAACTGCTGGTGTACTGCAGTCCTTTCACTGACAGCTGTCCACACCATGTGTCACTCAGTGCAAGACCTGTCTAGAGTGCTGAAAAAAAGCAGACAACACACTTCCCTCCCCCAGGAAAAGCCAGCATGCCCTGAAACTCAAAAATAAATAAGTGAATAAAAGAGGAACCTTTGAAAAGTCTTCCTTACAATGCCACCACCTCAGTCACTACTGTGCACAGCTGCCCCAAAGGAGCAGTTCTCTCGTCTGAAGCTCTCCAAAGGGATTCTCTCTCCCAGCCCAGCACATTCCACTTTCCATACACTTAATTCCTCATAAAGGTCCTTCCACACAGGGATGTGCAAAGAACAATTTTGTAATGGCTCTGCCAAAATCCGGCCTGGGTGATGGAGAGTAGCCCCGGAGACTTGCTATGCTACCTGGGAAAGGGTACAGCAAAACGCTCAAACCACCTCCAGTCAGCAAGTGCAATACACAGTCAGGCTTCTCTTCCAAGAATTTATTGTCAAAGAAGATACAACTAAAAACACTACAAAAAAAAAAAGAGGATTTACACAAAGGGAAGCGACAATAAAGCCACTCAGACCAGGCAAAGAGCATTTCTTTCCAAATAGTACAAAAAACCTGACAGAGGTGGTTCTTTGGTTCAGACATGAATTTCCTTTCAGAGCTCTCACCTAGGAAGCCTCATTTCCTCAATCCCTGGCACCTGTAAGCAGATTTGGAGTGACTCCATCCCTGTATGCAGCTCCAAGGAACTCTACAACCAGCCAGGGGGGAGAGAGAAAAAAATTCAAGCCAGAATGGCTGGAGCTGCTGATGGAGCTGGATGACAACGCAAAATCTCTGTGCCTCTCTTGTGCTGCTGAATGCCATACAAGGGCCCGATATTCTTCAGACAGTATCTTGCTGTGGTAGCTCTCACTTTTGCCCTAAGTAGGTAGGCCAGTGTGCTTCACACTTTCCACTTCTGGCTGTTTGGCAGCCAAATTTAGAGCTAGGACATACCCAGGCTTGTACAGCCTGCAGGACACCCATCCCACCATGAAGGCCATCACTGTAATGGCCTTAAAGAGATGTAGTAATAGCAGTACCTGAGTACCAGACAGGAATTTTACAAGGAAACCTCAATGAAGGCCACCCTTTGCTTGTTAATTCTAGTTTTCCATCAGGCAATATTGGTTAAGCCAAAGGAGACAGGAACTGTTTTGCCTTCTGAAGGGCTGAATGAAAATCTATGTTTAATCTACTGCTGTGTGTAAACACACATCAGATTTGTGGGGTTTATGGTTAGCCAAACACTACAGAAATAGAACAACTACACAGTTAGGGACAGAGAAAGCCAAAGAGAGGAACAGTACCAACCATCTCTACTCGTCCTTCTTTACAGTGAACACTTGCGGGGTCCTGAGATCATTTCATTGCTCAAGAAAGACGACACCTAGTACTAGCCCAAGCCAGCTGCAGGGTTCGGCTAGGCGCCTTCTCTTCCCAAAGCCTATAAATCCCAATTACTGATAATCCGCAGCTGATAAACTGAGATTGCCCACGATTCAGCCTACTTTCTGTCACACACCCAGCAGGGTGAAAGGCAACGCTGCTGTGCTTGACACTGCAGCTCGCTGCTTGGCTCTGCCCTCGATTCAGGCAGTGGCTTTGGAAGAGGTGTGGTGAGCTGTGCTAGCTTGGGGGAATATTTCCTGATGTAGGAGGAGTCTTGGCAACAAGGTCTATGGCACAAATTTTTGTTTGTGATCAAACCAGGATATGAAAGCAACTGAAAACCGGAAACAAGATTGCGAGGTACAAAAAAACAATTGCCACATGCACATGCTTCTGATTCCAAGAACCAGAGACATCAAAGGACATATTTTACTGTATTAAAATGCACAAACTTGTATATATATACACATATATATTTATATGCAAAATGCTTGTCTTCCCATCTTCATCAGCAATAGCAGGATGGGAAGCTTCCCCTAATCCACTTCTATTTCAATCTATTCTGAAGCTACTCAGTACTAAAATCAACTTAAAAACCACTCAGCCTCACAGCGACTAAAACTGCAATCCAATACACAAACCTAACAGGTTCCAGGATTAATTTTTCTTAGCATAGCTACATTAAAGCAAAATTTCTCATGAAGAGTCTAGTTTATCAATACCAGGCAGTCTCTCTACGGTGAATATTCAGTTCAAATTAAACAAGCAGGCAATCAGGTTGCTCAAAAGAGCTAGGCTCCTACGCTCAAAACAGCAATTTGGGGGAGTCCCAAGCTCTGCGGTGCTATAGCTCTACCAGGGAATATGAATCGTTTTGCATCTTAGCCAGGCTTCGACTCTGATTTCCAAAAAGCCAGTGAAAGAACACAGAGATTTCTGCTTTGGCCAGCTTAGTCTTCAGGAGGTATCTTGTTGCTTCATCATAGTTTTATAGTTTCTTTTGAAAAAGCCACACTGGGGAAAAAATAAAAGAACTTATTAAGTCTTTGTGAATACATTAATTTTTGCTTTTTCTTAACATAATTTCAAATGCAAAGTTTTTCCTTCTCAGGATTGCAATAACTGAATGCATGAACGCAGGATGCAACCCATGTATGACTTCCAGCAGAGCTGTAAGCCTGAAGGCCTACGTTGTTCAAAACTTTTCAGAACATCTATAAGCATTTCACAACGTTCAAATGTTCTGCAAAGCACTTTAAAGCAGGACTGGAGAGGTTATGCTGCAATGCTCAGAAAACCTCAAAACCTAAGACTGAGGTTTTACAACAGTAAGTACCCAATGTTCTTCAGTGCACATTTGAAAATATCGCTTTCTTACTTACAGAAATCACAAAAAAAATTAAAATGTCTAACAAGACCATTTCTGTTTTGTTGTGTGTGCATTAATAATACCCACTTTCCAGAGGAGCAGAGTAATGAACACCAGCAGAAGAAGTCCACCAACACAGCTTCCTATGATAACAGGCAAGAGGTCAAACACTTCGTCTTTCAGGAAGACAAGAGTAATCTGGAATAGAATCAAGGCCAGTGATTTTTTTCTTGGTTAGCTTTTAACCAGGAAAGCTATATGATTTGAGCTAGCATTGAACCTTTAAACTATGCTAGATGCACCACCAAGCTACCTATGCAGGTATTTTGCAATACAATATGAAATAATTTTTTTTTATTGCAAGCCTGGCTGAGGGAGTTAAATTTACTGAGTCTTCCTTAGGTGTTTACAGTGATTACAACAGTCACCAGGGACAATCTTTCAGATTAAAGAGCATCTCTTCCCTAGCAAAAGAGAAGGAAATTCATCTGAAATCCCGGACAGGACAGGAGGTTTCTGAGTTAGCCACCATTGTCAGGTACACAGCATTCAACACAGAACCCTAAAAACTTTTCTGATATGCACTAGTAGATATACTCCCTCTGCTTTTATTCTATAGTCAAAACCCGATTTCACTAAATTCAATGGCAGAACAGACATTTGCTTCGAAAAGTCCAGGATTTAGCTCTAGGAACTTGATCGGTTCTTTAGATTCAGCAAAACCACCTGGATTTCTCCCTTGCTGCTGGCCCAAAAGCAGGGCCGAGCTGCCTACGTGATGCTCTGCTACCTCAGTGCTGTGATGCTCTTCTTTCAGCCCCACGTACAGTTCTCTGTCAAAGGTGATTTTTCCAGGGACCAGCAGTTCAGTTCTGCTTTTTAAGAACTACGGAAAAAGAAATACAAAGAACAAAGTATCAGCTGCTTTTCAGTCTTTTCAGAAAGAAAACGGGTTGCAACAGCAAACCCTTGCTCAGAGCGTAAGAACCGCCCTGTGCGGTGCTGGCATCGAGCCGTGCCTTGAGTCCACAGCCGGTGTGTAGCTATGGCTGGGAGAAACAGCCTGGAGCGCTGCGGCGTGCGGTACCCCACAGGTCACCTCACGGGGGGCAGTTCCGGAGGGGAGCAGGAGAGCAGCACCTCTCCTACGCGCTGAGCACCTCGGGGAGATACTACTGCGAGTAGAGCATCCCCTTGCTCTGCCAAGCAGCGTCAGGCGTGGGAGAGCGGGATTCCCGCTGCGAGGGGGGGAAACCTCGGCAGGGGACGGGGTTAGCGAACAGCGGAGCGCGGTGTTTTGCGGGTACCTGGTGCGGGTTGCTCAAAGACAGCTCTGCCGTCACGGTGATGCTGTCTCGGTCGGTGCGGACAGAGCAGTGCACGCGCTGATACCGCACGTCCGCAACGCCCTGAAACGCAAAGGAGCGGCTCGGTGCGCCGGTACCGCGGGTTCGAT